ACACAAATCTACAGTCTGTTCATTTATGGCTATTTTGGGTATTGATTACATGCCTCATTACGAAAAGATCCTTGTCAAACAAGTGAATGTACCGAGAAATTTAAGCAAACGTTGTCTTCCCTTTGTTCCCCTTTTTGTTCGTTTGAGAATAAATTCTATTCCAATCCAATTGTTAAATACAATTCCTTGTTTCATTAGTATTGTCTAGTCTGCGGTTAGCAGCTGTCTGCTCATCCACTGAAAGAAATTAATTCTAGATTTAAATTAAAAATCGACGGAAATCCTAAATTCAGATGTAGCCTTTTTCGCTTTGTGCTACGATTTTTTCGTTAAAAGCCTCTTCTAATTACCAAATGGTTTTTTCACATCGCCTTACTTTCATTCGTCCTCAATCCGACTCAAATCTAAAAACATCTTCGTTGGTTTTTACATCCGAAAAGTTTTCAGTGTTCATTAGCAAATGCACCAGTTATGACGGTTTTCAGTAGCAACCACAGGCAACATTTGAATGGCCCCTCGTAAATGAAACCGGAAAGCTTAAAGCTTTTAGGATAATTTATGCATAGTTTGAATCGCGTCGAAATTTGATGTGTGAACATCGTCAGAAAACGATTTTTTACAGAAAAAGCCGGAAAGTCTCTCAATGCGGTTTTACCCTTCCGGATCAATGCGACACGCACCAAGAATGTGTGAATGATAGATTCGACATATTGAAATTGAATCGAAATATACAGGGAGGTTGTTTTACACCTCACCCAATAATTTCAACAAAATCTAGCTTTAACTCGTCACGGGTGATAAAGTTAAAGAAAATAAACAGAAGCAAAAGCAATGACTATGATTTCCGTTGAAATTTATTGTGTGCATTAAAGCTTGGCGCTCTTTGCGTTTCCACCGTGTATACGGTTGAGCTTTTCCCCGGAAAGCTCTTTCGTGCAACCAACTCGGGTCAGATTCCAATGAAGATTAATGACCAATCCTGCTTTTCATTACTTTCACATATTTTATGGTACTTTGTCTTTAATTACGCGATACTGACATTTTATCAAGTGCGTGATTTTGCTAATCTTAAACCGACCTGAATTACTTTTATAAAGTGCGTGCAAACAATTTTAAATTCAATTTCACAGATTTTACAAGGGACGTAACGATTGTGCGTATGGAAATTTAACGTGCGTAATTTTATTATCGTGCGAAGCAGAGGAAAAATTGCTTTTATCGGATTCTGATAAAAGTTCACTGGCTTATACAGATATTTTCTGTCTCTAAGATTTCTCTTATCGTACGATAAACCTCATTTAAAAATTTTTGACCAAATAATCGTGCTACAATTAACCCTACATGCTTGGTAATAAATCAACAAATGTTGACGGTACTTAAACACGCTACGTACAAAATAATCAAAGTAAAGGGAGTTCTTTAATTATAAAAAATTTTTTTAGTAAATCGTAGAAGATGTTTTGTTTTGTTAGACTTGAGCTGTTTGTTAAAAAGTTCGAACTTTGGCCTTTCCAGATTCCATTTAAACGCAATCCACAATTCGAACTTGAGCAACTCATCAAAACTTCCGTTGAAAATCCTCCATTTGTTTCAGAATAGAATAATAATTTCCCACTTTCATTCGAAGCTAAACTTGCGAAACATTCGTGAAAATTAAATTGTTTTGGTTTGTTTCACTTTGATGGTCCGACCCGTTCAAAGTTTTGAGCTTCAATATTGAAAGTTCGTAAACTGGAAACGACCTGGGACACATTAGCCAAATTATAACTTTAATCAAATTTCTTTGGAATGAATTGATTGTGACGCAGTGTCCGGTATGCACCTGAACCGTAATTATCAAACATCCGTTAATTAAACTCAATGGCAGGCATCAATGGCTGGAATAAGTATAGTTCCACACAAAATTAACACTAACTGCATTAATGCTAATGCTAATGGCACGCAATCGCTCTGAAATTGATTACCTGGGTCCTGTTGGCTCTGTTCGCACTAATTTATGGCCCGAAATGCGTGATCGGTTTTCAGTTAGCAGGGGTTATCTGCAGGATGCAGTTGTGAAGGTTAATTAAATGGATAACACAATGAATTTTGATGTCATAAATAGATATGCATAGCACAAGAACTCACATGACACATGATAGATCATAATAACCAGAAATATGTTAATTTTTAATTTTATCCCAGTCATTGTGTGATGTTTACAATTTTTACTAAAATGTGCATATTTTGTTAATTTTTAATTTGTTAAAATTAAAATACAGGGTGCGTCAGAACTCGCGCCCCAGAGAAAATTTTCAAGTAAGGTAAGATACCAAGAACATGAAAAAATGTTTAAAAAATTCTGTCAAAAAATTTTGACATTTAATTTTTGACATTTGACATTTTTTATGTCTATTTAATGATAGTGATGATCTTGTATATGTTTTTTTACAATTATTTAATAAAAGGACAAAAATTTTAGCAATAAAAGCCACAAATAACATTGAACAGAGTTACAATTTAGGGTGCAGCTTCCTTGTTTCCTCTTTTAATAGCTAGTAAAAAAACTTGGAAAATTATTTTTCCAACAGAAATAAATAGAGTCAAAGTGCAAACTTTAAACCCTCATAACTTCGAAATTTTTATAGATAAAATTTTTTTAGCATTTTTTCCATGTTCCTGGTATCTTACCTTATTTTTCTCTGGGGCGCGAGATCTGGCGCAACTTGTATAAGGTACATACAAAGCCATAAATATGAAACTTCACATTTTTTGTAACCAAAAATTTAAGATCACGTGCTAAAGTAAAATATTTTGGCGAAAATACTTGAATTAGTTATGTACAGTACTTTGATGGATGATTGTTCAGGGACTACACCCTGTTGGCGGTGTAGAATGTGGTTAGTTCTGGTATTTCTGGTATTTTGGTAGGTAATAAACCCAAGAAAACTAAATTCAACGTCGTGTATGGATATCAATTTGAAAATGTAAAGAATTTTTTTGCAACATATTTAATGGTGGATTTATGCTTCCAAATTTAAGATTTATCTTTTAAGATTCAATTTAAGAATGACTGGATTTGACATTTTACCAAATTCTCGAATTTACACTTTTAAAATAATCAAAAAGTACTTAATTTAAGAATACACCGATGTAAATCTCGTATTTCACACAAACATTTGTAAAATTAGTGACGATTTGTAACAATCTATAAACTATATTCTCTAACAGTATCGACGAATGCAGCATCTTCCATATAAATTCTTATTATTTCAGAGTGTTTCAGAGAAAAGTTTTACTTTTCAAGTGTGACTGACAATTTATCAATTTTGTTTGTCATTTAACGTAAAAAGTTAAAAGTTGGAAACTCTTAAAGCTTAAATGTTAAATGATATTAAGTATAAATGTTACCAATAATTGATCTTCTTAAATGTCAATTCTTAATTTAAACCTTAAATGATAAATCTTAAATATGGAAGCATAAATCCACCATAAAACGTTGACATTTTTATACAAAAACTTACACTACACCTTTTTCAAGTGTAATTTAGAAAGCGTAAGTTCAGAAAGTGTTACGTATAGTTATAATTTAGAGTTTGTCATTTGTATTTGAGAATTCGTCAATCGTAATTCAGAATTCGTTATTTTCATTTGAAAATTATATTATAAAAATCTTTTTGAAAATAAAATATCTCATTTATTTTGTAAAATACCAAGTTTATGTAATTCTTTAATTCTGAAAATAAAATAATTCGTGTTTATGTGTAACTTCATTCTGAGATAACAGTAAGTTACTCATCTGAATTACAACTGATATTTTCTGGATTACATGTAACATGAAATTGAATTTATTTACTCTTCTGAATTCCATGTAATGGTTTCTGAATTACAATTAATACTAATTAATACAATTAATTAATACTTTCTAAAATACAATTGACTAATCTGAATTCCAATTTATGCTTTCTGAAATTAAATTAACTAATCTGAATTACATCTCGTGGTTTCTGAAACTCATTTTACTCTTCTAAATTACACTTTCTGAAAGACAATTGACTAATCTACATTTTAATTTACGCTTTCTGAAACTAAATTGACTAATCTGAATTACATGTGATGGTTTCTGAATTACACTTAAAAAAAGTGTAGAGCTAAAAAAAGGTTTTATTTGTTATTGTTATCGTTTAAATTATTTTGACAAAGAAACTACATAATAATTCATAAAATAAAAATAAAATGACCAAATCAGAATGATATAACTTTTTTTATCCAATCAATTAACAGTTTAAAAGTCAAGCGGTGTTTAAAATTCTTGGTTTTTGGCTTGTCTATAGCATCATTTTTTAAAACATAGGGAATATAATTAATGCGTTTCTTGTAAATTGTTAAAAATAATAATTTGAAACATCTTTTCTAACGATTTATTTCAAAATTTTCTTTCAGAAAGCCACTAAATGGTTGTAATTTTTTCCTACTTTACTAATTTTTTGCGCTTATAGTAATAGTAGATTTACATATCGAGGTGGGAGGTGCTTCATTAGCAAGGCGAAATTTGATGACTAAGGCGCAAAGCTCCGCGGTTAGCAATTAAAGAACAGAAAACTAATAAAGAATTTAGCAAATTTTAAAAAACGTGACATATAACAGTTCAGATTGAAAAGTGGCCATTTCCCAACCTAACTAAACTTTCAAATTAATTGTTAAATTACGAGTAATTTAAAATATGATACTTTCCAACTTTTCACAAGCAAAGTAATTTGATATTATTTTATGATTGTAACAAATATTGTTATGTAAATTTATTCCTTAGTGAAATTTTGATATTGGCATTGTTATATCGAGGTTGTTGTCGTCCTTTTTCACATACAGTAGAAGACATGAAGACACATATTTCCACTTATTAGTCACAACAAAGATTTATGTTTTTCATTTTAAGTAATGGCAAATTTTATCATGTTAAACATTCAAAATTGATTAAACATGAAACAACAAGACCGATGAAAAAAGAAAACCAACTTAAACGCGTTTTAATATCTTTTATTACATACACAAGATAATAAAATGAAACAAGATCATAAAAGTAAGTGAATATTTCTAAGAGACGACCTCTTGGATCCATTTCAAGTAGTTGGCAACGTCTACAAGGAGGATAGTACTCGCCCGATTGCATACATATTTATTTTGAAGACCGACGCCGACGTTGACGACGCCTTTCAACTCCCAGACTGGTTTTGGACCACCACTGAGGTACACCAAACTACTTCCAGAATCTCCAACACAGACAGAATCATCTACAAGAAATTACTGCAACTTTCTGCATCTTACTAGATTATTACCCCACTTTCAGCATAACTGGTACAAAGAGTATTATCGGTGTAAAACCCTTTCAGAAATGAATTTTTCTTGATACATTCCTCCTCGTTGAGCACTTCAACATTGGCTTGGTCAAATTTTAAAAATCGCTCTCCTTTAATTTCGTATCCGATTAGAATTCCGTCCCGTTTTTCACCCTTGGGGCTCAAGCAAACTGGTCTAACATAATCACTGATAATCACAGGTTTATCCAAGCGAATAACGGCCAAATCGTTTAATAACCCTTTCGAACGGTACCCCGGATACAAGTGTATTCTTTCCACTTCAAATCCCTGGATTTCCTTATTCTCTCCATCGTTATCAAGGCTATATTTCCCAAGATAAACCCTCAGCAGACGAGCAGGCACTACAAATTCTGATTTGAGATAAGTAACACAATGGCCAGGAGTTAAAACGTGTCTGTTTGATATCAAAATGGCTTCACAGACGTATTTTTCAACGCTATTATTGCGAATGTAAATAGCTCCTTGCCACGGCCATTGTCCATTTTGTGCCTTTTTATTTGCACGTTCATGATTCGCCGACGGGGGAGTAGTTCCGCAGGCGTAAGCGGAAACTTCAGAACTTGAGGTGATAGAAGACAAAAAATCTTTATTGTTTAAGTCTCCAGAGAAGAATTCTTCAGAATTGCTAAAATTGTTACCTATTGAGGTACAGTCGAACAAAATGAAAATGACGCCTCAATAAACCAGCCCTTCTGCATTGACAAACATCAAATTAATTAAATAAAAATATTGAATTTTTTAATAAAAAATTTAACAAACCATTTCTTAATTTGATTGCAAACTTGACGTAGTTTCAAGATAAATTCTTCTAGGAGCTGGTTTACAGAAAGCGAAATAAAAATTTAAGTCAGAATTAAACTAATTCTGCATTGACAAACGTCAAATTAATTAAATCAAAATATTGAATTTCTCAAAATATTGAAATAAATATTGAAAAATAAATATTGATTGAAAATATTGAAAAAAAATATTGAAAAATATTGAAATTGAAATCAAAATATTGAAATTCTTCTTGGAGCTGGTTTACAGAAAGCGGAATAAAAATTTAAGTCAGAATTAAACTAATTCTGCATTGACAAACGTCAAATTAATTAAATCAAAATATTGAATTTTTTTAATAAAAAATTTAACAAACCATTTCTTAAAGAAGATTATGCATTGATAATGACATTAACGAGAAAACAAATCGTTATTAACTTAAAAAATTTTTTTAACTGTTTTTTTTAAATAAAATTAATTAACATAATTTTTGAACGAAATAGGCTTTCTCTATTTTAAACATGATTTTATGTAAAACAACAAATGAATTAAAACATTGTTTATTTGCGAGAAGAAGGTTTAATTCCACGTGTGCCTTTACCGCGAGTGGTTTAATTCTTTAAGCAGAAAGCGAAATTAAAATTTTTGTCAAGTTAATCGCGAATTAAAATTTAATTGCGATTAACACGTTCTGTAAACCGGCCTTAAGTTTTCTATTAGTTTTGTAATTGTCATTGAAAACGAATTAATAATTATTTATTTAATTAAAACAGGAAAAAAACGCCAAAATCATTTCAAATATTTTAGTTCTGCTACAAAATTTATTTTTTGATAATTG